TTTTTTTTTTTTTTTTTTTTTTTTTTTTTTTTTTTTTTTTTTTTTTTTTTTTTTTTTTTTTAAATATATATTAAATAAATAAATAGATGCATATATATATATGTATATATATATATATATATATATAGGCATCGACAAAAACAAATACAGAAATGTACAATAAAGACAGCAGCAACAGAAGCAGCAGCAGCAGCAGCAGCAGCAGCAACAGCAACAATAGCAGCAACAGCAGCAGCAGCAGCAGCAACTCTTACCTCCCCCTGTAGTCTATAAGCTTTGCGCGTTTATCTTTTTCTCCTGCTCGGGGGCCCGCAGCACTTTGCTGCTGCTGCTGTTGCTGCTGCTGCTGCTGCTGCTGCTGCTGCAGTAGCTGCTGTTGCTGCCGCCGCTGCTGCGTGCGCAGCGGCCTTCGTTGCTGCAGCTTCTGCTCGGTTTGTGGGGTTTGCGGCTCCTGCTGCTGCTGCTGCTGTTGCTGCTGCTGCTGCTGCTGTTTCCCTTGCTGCTGCTGCTGTTGCTGCTGCTGCTGCAGCAGCTGCTGCTGCTGCTGCTGCCTGCGTTGCTGCCTTTTTCTTCTGTTTGTTGTTACTTCGTCTTTCAGCTGCTGCAGCTGCTCAAGGCGGAGCGAGCTGCTGCTGTGTCCTAGCCACACACTTCTTGCTGCTGCTGCTGCTGCTTGTGCTGCTGCTGCTTCCTCTGCTGCTGCTGCAGGGGAGAGAGTACCGCCTCTTGCTGCTTCTGCTGCTGCTGCTGCTGCTGCTGCTGCTGGGGAGAACGACCCTGCTGCAGCAACAGCAGCAGCAGGAGAGAAAACAGAAGGAGAGGGAGATACGCTGCCTGGGCTGCGGCGGCACTCACCCCGAGGTGTACGTACAGCAGGAGATGCTGCTGCTGCTGCTGCTGCTGCTGCTGCTGCTGCTGCTGCTGCTGCTTCGTCTGCTGCTGCTGCTCCTGCTGCTGCTCTCGGGGTCAAGCAGATGTCGTCCGTTGCTGTGGATGCTGCTTCTGCTATTAGGGGTGCAGCCTGCAGCTCTGCTGCTGTTGCTGCTGCTGCTGCTGCTGCTGCTGAACCCCTTCGCTGCTGCAGCTGCTTCTCTTCTGCATCTGCAAGCTGACCTTTTGCTGCTGCTGCGAGCCACGCCATTGTCGCTGCTGCTGCTGCTGCTGCTGCTGCAGTTGCTGCTGCTGCTGCCGCTGCTGCTGTTTCAAGTGTCGCTGCTGTCGTGGCTGCTGTTGCTGCTGCTGCTGCCGACCCCGCTGCTGCGGCTGCTGCAGCTGCAGCTAGCAGTGTGCTCGCGGTTTGTGTGTACTGCTGCTGCTGCTGCTGCTGCTGCTGCTGCTCTGGTGAGTTGTTATATTTGACAGAAGGAGTTATAAATAAAACGGAGGTTTAGGGTTTAGGGTTTAGGGTTTAGGGTTTAGGGTTTAGGGATCGTCAAGCAAGAGCGGATCTGTAGCGCAGTCTCGCTGCTGCTGCTGCTGCTGCTGCTGCTGCTGCTGCTGCTGCTCGGCTGCCTTTAGCTGCTGCTGCTGCTGCTGCTGCTGCTATTCAATCGCAGCAGCTGCTGTTGTTGTTTGTTGTTATTTGTTGCTGTATTTCTGCTGCTGCAGCAGATATTATTACACCAATAGCCCTTTGCTGCTGCTGCTGCTGCTGCTGCTGCTGCTGCTGCTGCTGCTGCTGCTGCTGCTGCTGCTGACAGCAGCCCCAGAGACAGGGGCGACGCTGCTGTTCCCTCTAGCAGCAGCAGATGCTGCTGCTGCTGCTGCTAGTTACATATTTATATTATTAATGAGGTGTATAGACACCGCAACATAATATTAATTATATTAATATAAATAGGAGCAGCAACAGCAGCAGCGACAGCAGCAGTAGTACGTTCCCGCTGATCCTGGTGGCACAGGTTGCTGCTGCTGCTGCTGCTGCTGCTGTTGCTGTTGCTGCTGCTGCAGCTGCTGCTGCTGCTGCTGCTGCGCACCTCCCTGGCTGCTGCTGCTGCTGCTGCTGCTGCTGCTGCCGCATGTTACCATTTGCTGCAGCTTTCTGACGTGTTTATGCTTTTTACTGCAGCAGGACGAGAGACAGGGTTCATAGTTGCTGCTAGTGTACCCCTTGACTTGGGCTGCTGCTGCTGCTGCTGCTGCTGCTGCTGCTGCGGTGCTGCTGCTGCTGCTGCTGCTGCTGCTGCCGGCAATTGTTGCTGCAGCAAAATACTTCGCCTCAATACAGATCTATATCTTCAAACAGCAACAGGACTACACGCAGCTGCTCGAGGTGTGTTGCTGCTGCTGTTGTTGCTGTTGCTGCTGCTGCTGCAGCTCGTGCTGCTGACGGCAGCAACGTGGGCCCCTGCATGCTCTGCTTGCTGCTGCTGCTGCTGCAGCACCGGAGCTGCTCAGCCTCGCCCCGCTGCAGCAGCAGCAGCAAAATTCAGCTGGTTGCTGCTGCTGCTTGCTGCGAGCGCGGCCGTGGGGTGTTGCTGGGGGCAGCAGCAGCAGCAGCGGCGGAGGCAGCAGCAGCAGCAGCAGCAGCAGCAGCAGCAGCAGCGGGCTCCACACCGCCTCGTCAGTTGTCTTGGGCAGCTGAAGCAGCAGCACCTGAGTTTGTTTGCATTAACAGCAGCAGCAGCTGCAGCAGCAGCAGCTGCAGCAGCAGCAGCAGCAGCAACAGCAGCAGCAGCAGCAACAGCAACAACCTTTTTGTCTTTTTCTGTTTGTGTGCTGCAGCAGCAGCAGCCGCCTGCCGTCCTTCGCTTCATCAGCATTGCAGCAGCTGCAGCAACAGCAGCAGCGCGGTTCTAATTCCAGCAGCAGCAACAGCAGCATCAGCAGCAGCAGCAGCAGCAGCTGCTGCAGTCACTAGACAGCAATGGCGCACTCACCAGCAGGGCCTGCAGCAGCAGCAGCAGCAGCAGCAGCAGCAGAGCTGCCGCAGACGCTGCACGAACCAATGGGCCCCACAAACTACGGCACCTTTGAGGTTTCTGTTGAAACAGACATAGGTAATCCTGTTGCTGCTGCTGCTGCTGCTGCTGCTGCTGCTGCTGCTGGGTTTGCTGCTGCTGCTGCTGATGATGGACTTGCTGCTGCGGTGGATGCTTCTGTTACACTGTGTTCTGCTGCTGCTGCTGCTGCTGCTGCTGCTGCAGTTTTTCCTGCTGCTGTGCCTGCTTCTATTTTTCTTTCTGCTGCTGCTACGTGCTGCGCTGCTGCTGCTGCTGCTGCTGCTTATATTCGTGCTGCTGCTGCCTTTCCTGCTGCTACTCAACAGCAGCAGGATATGCAGCAGCAGCAGCAGCAGCAGCAGCGGCTATATTATATCTCTGCTGCTGCTTCTGCTGCCTTTCATAGAACAGTTGCTGCTTCTGCTGCTGCTTTTGCTGCTGCTGTTTATTATATCGTTCCTGCTGCTGCTACTGCTGCTGCTACTGCTGCTACTGCTGCTGCTACTGCGGCTACTACTGCTGCTACTACTGTTACTGCTGCTGCTGCTGCCACTACTGCTTCTACTACTGCTACTGCTGCTGCTGCTGCTGCTGCTGCTGCTGCTGCTGCTGCTGCTGCTGCTGCTGCTGCTGCAGGGGGGCGTAAGCACCAGGAGGATCGGTTTACTGTGTGCCCTGCCTTGATAGCGGGGAGGAACGACGCCGCCTTCTTTGGGGTCTTCGATGGCACCGTTGGTTAGCTGCTGCTGCTGCTGCTGCTGCTGCTGATGGTGGTGGTGCTGCTGCTGATGGTGCTGCTGCTGCTGCTGCTGATGGTGGCGGTGGTGGTGGGGATGGTGGTGGGGGTGGTGGTGGCGGTGCTGCTGTTGGTGGTGGTGCTGCTGCTGCAGTTGCTGTTGTTGCTGTTGGAGTTGCTGCTGCTGCAGCTGCAGCAGCATTTGCTGCTGCTGTTGCTGTTTGTGTATATGTATGAAACTACTGACGCCAGTCAGTATTTCTCCTCTACAATATAAATTAGGGTTTAGGGTTTAGGGTTTAGGGTTTAGGGTTTAGGGTTTAGGGTTTGTGTGTAGGTGATTTTGCTTCTGACTCTGTTAAGGATTTGGTGGTTCCTCATTTAGTATCGAATAGAGGGTGGCAGCGTGTTGTGTCTTTGCTGCAGCAGCAGCAGCAGCAGCAGCAGCAGCAGCAGCAGCAGCAGCAGGAGGTATCTGGTGACGGCGACGGCTCCGTCTCTTCCTCCTCTTCTTCATCCTCTTCCTCCTCCCCAGCAGCAGCAACAACAACAACAGCAGCAGCAGCAGCAGCAGCAGCAGCAGCAGCAGCAGGGCTGCCCGAAGCACTAGCTACAGCTGTGCGGTGTATGTACATGGGGGCTGATGCTGAGCTTATTGAGCTCTGCCGCATACACTCCAACGATTACGCATCCAGCACTTCTGTTACTGCTGTGCTTGCTGGGGGGTTTCTAGCTGTTGGACACCTTGTGAGGGTTTAGGGTTTATTAGGGTTTATTAGGGTTTATTAGGGTTTAGGGTTTACGCGAGGGTTTAGGGGGTTTAGGGGGGGGGGG